CTGTGTGAATAAACCATCACATTTCCAGGAAACATCAGTAAAGAGAAACTTAGAACAATATTAATGTGTTTGCTGTAATAACAACCCTCTGAGTTCAGCTCTCACAGCTCACCATGAACATGAACCAATAGCTGCATCGATCGGCTCCATCACCTCGTGGGGGTGGGGGCTGTGGTCCTCACCTGCTGGCCATTGCTGTCGGTGTTGGGGGGGTATGTGGGTTCCCTTGGGGTGGGTTTCTTGTGCGGTTTGGCGTGGGGGCTGCGGTCCTGACCTGGATTTTGTGGATCTTGGGTGGTGTTCCCTTGGTTACCGGCCTGGCAGCCTGCCCCTGGGTTCTTGGGGTGCTCCACCTCCGGGCTGGGGTTCTGGCTGGGCCTGGGGGGCCTTGGGTCCTGATGTGTTGCTGAGGTTGTGGGTGGTGCATCCTGGCGCCAAATGTTACTGTAGTCTGGGAGTTGAGTATATTTTTGGGTGGGTGTAGTTTTTCCTCTGTGGTGGGGTCAGGTGGACCTCTGTGGAAGGGGCGGCCGTCCAGGCAGGGAGTACTTCCCCACCCCCAATCCTTTCCTCCCCATCCCCATCTGTCTCCCTCCTCCCGCTCCATCACACCCCCACACCTGAGGGCCTGGGGGTCTGGAGGAGGGACGGCCACACCTGCCTGATCCATGAAGCTCAGATCAGCTGTGTCTGCCCTGTGTGAACATCTGTCCACATGTGCAGAGCGCTGTGGCTGTGATGGGCAGGTGTTGTTCCTGCTCTGACAGATGAAGCAGCTGTTGGAGTCTCTCTCTCCGACCTGCAGCAGGGACACTTCCAGGAAAAGCCTCCAGCTCCAGGACCTGATCCCCGAGTGTCTGTCAGAGGAAACGAGGAACTCTACATCTGACTACCAAAATAAAAGTTTAGAGTCAGGTGGAGCTCCCTGTGTCCTCCACACTGTCTGAGATGGCTGTGAGGTCATCATGAGACACACCTCCATCAGCTGTGCACTTAGACAACAGCTTCCACTCCCACTCACCCACTCAGTCATGTGTGGACCCCATCAGCATCAAACCTGAGAGAACCTCAGATAGAGGAGGGTGGAGTCAGAAACCAGCTGCAGCTGCTCCACCCACTGTGCAGGAGCAGACCTCCTCCATCTGTGATGAGCTAACCAGACTGACCTCTGTACACAGAGCTCTGTATGAGCAGATCATGTGACAGCAGGCCTGACGCTCACCTGTGAGTCACCTGTTCATGCAGACTGAGATTTAATCATGTGTGTTGGAGTCCGTCGGGTCATGAGGACAGCAGACCTCCACCTGCCTCCTCGGCTCCTCTGAGGGGTTTACAAACTGTAACCCAGAGTGATGACCCGCCTCCTCCCAGCAGGACACACCTGACGCTCCTCCAACAGGTGGTGTCCTCAGAGCTCCATCCCTGAGCATCCTGTCAGCTGCTGCACCCACAGCAACCATGAAACCTGCGTTGGCCCTGAGCTCTGATCAGCTGGTCCGTCCGTCAGCCTTAAATAAAGTTTCACTTTGAATCCAGCAGCTCAGGTCACATGATGCCCAGGCTTCCTGTATGACCCACTCTGAGGTCAGACCAGGAAAACCAGTCGAAACAAGATGAACCCCAGTGTAACCATGGTGACC